TCTGACCGTCTGTGCCTACCTCCTGGCCTTTGGCTTCACGCTGCAGGAAGTTTGCCTCAGAAGCAACAACCTGACATTGTACGACAACACCACCGTGGTCTGTCGTCACATCTTCACCTCCAGGTAGGAGGAGGAACATCTGCTTAGTCCTTTACAGAGACTCCTCCTCAGTGGAGAACTGAGGAGGAGCCCAGGCCTCAGATTGACCAAGCTCAGTGACCTCAGTCAGTCAGAAGAGAAAGTTTGTCAGTAACAGTTAGCTAAGAAGAAGAAGAAGAGCTAAAGGTTAGCCACAAGACAGCTACAACAAACTAACAAGGCCTTGAAGACTCAAGGATTTCCTTTGTTTGATCTTTGACCTTTTCCCCCTTTGTCTGCAGCTCCTCAGAGGAGGCTCCTCGTTGGTTCAGTGAGCTGTCCAATGGTCTGCTGCTGACTCAGAAGGTTCTGGCTGCCTTCCTGGTCCTACACACAGGTAGGTCCAGACTCAGGTCCAGACTCAGGTCCAGACTCAGGTCCAGGTTTCATATATGAGTAAAGCTGAACTCTTCTTCTTCTCCTCTTTCCAGCCGTGATCTCCCTCAGCTATGTTCACCGCTCTCAGCCTCTGTGGAGGAGGAGTCCCTTCAGCAACACCTGGTGGTGTCTGACGGTACCTGTGGTGTGAGTGTCCAGTCAGTGGGTTGGTTCAGTCCTCTCTGAAGGACAAAGGTCAGGAAACGGGATCACATTTGTCTAAAACAGATCACAACAGTTCCACTGGTCAACCTCATAGGAACCATACACTGGAGAGAAAAGTACCAAAGAGTCCTGTCTTAGTCTCAGTGTCGGGGCTTATGTCCAAACTTCCTCCTCTGTCTCCTGAAAAATGAAGAAGGTCCAGCTCCAGTCCACCCTCCAGATTCACGAGGTTCCATGTGGACGAGGACTTGTTGGTCTGAGGTTTGAGACTCTCAACATTCTTCAGAGCATGGAGATGTTCCTCAGCCTCCAGTCTCCTTCAACCTTCAGTTTCTCACTGATGAAAACCTGGGACCTACTTTAAAGACATGTAGTGATCAGTCCCTGGATTATGTCTGTTAAATCAGAGAAGGGTACTGCAATAAAAAGTACCAACTCTTTATATTTACTGCATAGTACACCAATGATACTCTGATATATTTTATATAAGTAAGTCTGAGTCTGTGTCTTGACATCGGTTCTGGTTCCTCTCTCCTGTTTGGTCAGCCTCCTGAGTCAGCTGGTCCAGGCCACAGTGGACTATCAGCTGTGGCAGCACAGAGACGGCTCCCTGACCTTTAACCTCGACGACATCCCTCTGCTGGCCTGGGTTCTGATCTCGCTCTGCCCTCTGCTGGTGGTGGTGGTGAACGAAATGGTTAAGCTCCACGAGATACGGTACTAAGGGATGGCAGAGATGTCCTAATGATGTTGGTCATAGATGTTGGATGACACTCAAAACTTCCTCTTCTGTCCACCAGGGTCCGGGTTCGGTACCAGAAGCGTCAGAAGCTTCAGTTTGAGACCAAACTGGGGATGAACTCTCCGTTCTGATGCCTTCACTGACAGGAAATTCATGTCGGGTTAAACACGGAACAGTTTTTAAGCTGATGAAAGGTCAAGGTTCAAACGCTGCTCTCTCACTGTAATCACCAGAGGGCGCACATATAAACCAACTGGACCATGAGGACCTGAGGTTCTGAGAGCGTGGACTATGGTTCTGTCATGTTTTCTCTGGTTATAGTTTGTTCTAAAGCATGAAGAATGTTCCAGGTTCTGAACAGTTCCCTGAACCTTCACCTCATCAGAGGGTTCTAATTATGATTTTATTTTATCAGTTGTTTCTTTTAAAGCTGCAGAAACAAACACAGAGGAATCAAAGGTAAGAAGTGACTTTTATTCCAAATGTACTTTATATTTGTGGGAAACATTTGTAAAATACTACAGCCCTATTTATTGAACATCCTTAACTTCACAGACACTGTTACCATTTTGACTTATTCTTTTCAATCAACATTTCTAATAAATGTTTGTAAATAAGTATTTTAAAGACACAGATTGTAATATTTCTTTTAATTCTTCCTTTTCTCACTGATTCATTTGAAAGGAAATGTGGAAAAAAAGTTTTTCAAGTCACTTTGAAGCATAAAAAGAAATAATGGGATGATAAACTGTCAAGAATGAGACTCAATAAAAACTGTTTTTAATTTTTTTCACTTTTATATTTATTGATATTGACTGGTTTGACTTCCAGAGGAAAGACCTTGTCTGTGCTGCAGCAGATCTGGATCATGTTCTTCTTCAGGACCAAGCAGTGAAGCCTGAGGTTCATCTTCAGTTTTAGTTCAAACAGTTCCAGGAACACTGTTACTGGAGACATTTTGATAGAACAAGGATGATTATGGGATTGAAATAAGTGAAGGTGTTAAAACTGCTAAATAGTACCGACTAAAATACACCAACTCTACCAAGATACTGGTAGAGAATGGTAATGCATGAACAGACCCAGATCAGTCAGTTCTAACCGTCACCTACTGCTGTGATTCACAGTACATTAGTGTGCCAGGAGAGATTCCAATCTCACTTTTGACTATTATTTATTTACTGCTAATGATTTGTCTCAACGTGATAATGACAGGTATAACAATTCAATACTCTTCCACTAGGTGGCAGCAGAAGGCTATAGAAACTAAAGGGAAAAAAAGTCAGAGCAGCTGAAGAAGATCTCTGTAAGTACATTGAAACTATATGTTAGTGCCTAGATTTTTTATTTTGGTGGTGCACTGTGGGAAAGATGGGAAGCACTGGTCTGCTGTATGTTCAGGTTTTTCACCTCCACAGCACACTGTCGGGTGATGGTCATGTGACGTCAGCTAGTCAACAGCGATGTTTATAGTCGACACTCTTTAAGGAAAATCATAAGAATCACAAACTACAGATAAAAATTTCAATTTCTGATTCTAAGATTTTCCAAGGTAGATGGGAAAAGTCTAACAAGTTGGAACAAGGTTGTATGAAGAAAGGTTCCAGTTGTCTTTTAAGAGTTCTCCAGCTCTACTCCAACATCGTTTGTCCAGAAACTTCATCTTCGTCTTTAGCTCATTATCACTGATCACACTCGGACCACGGTGTCAAGTATTTTCACGCACATTTATTTCATAAACAGGCAGAAAATAACTTTAAAACCTGGAGCCAGGCCTCTGAGGGTCTGCAGGTACAAAACAAATCACTAGTAATTATTTGTTACAGTTTACAAAGAAAGTGTTTTTCATTGGCCATACAGTTATCTATGGCTGGTCTGAGCCTAATTAAGCTCAAGCTAAATTAATTAAGCTTGAGATAAATTAGGCTCAGTTTTGAGACGGCAGCATTTTGGGATTTTGTGTGATGACTTGAGGCTCAGACAAAAACCCTTCTCCGTGAGTTATGTTCAGTTTTTAAGTTCCCTAAAATTTTCTAGTCAGCCTCTAGTCTGTTCTGTTGATCCTATTGTTTTCTTTATATTTCTTTATCATCATATTAGCATAATGTAATTACTCTGGTATTAATTTGTCTAAACACCTTGCTTTTCTAACCAGGATTTCCTGATTTGTGAACCAGCATGGATCTAGCCTCCTATCCCGCTAATTAGCTAACTGTTATAATAAATGTCATTGAGGTATCAGTCTGACACACATGTCTAGTCATCCAGTTGACACAGTAACGCCACACCTCTGTTAATCCAGTGTTTCTGTGGCTTGTCCGATGGCAGTTCGATGTTCATGACGTAGTTGGTGGAGTGTCCTGTTGTGGACAAGGTTCCCCTCCGGGCGCTGGTTTTGTAAACCGGACTTAGATAGATATTTTCATGCTTAAAGAGGGCCATCTCTCCAGGCTTGAGCAGGATGATGGGTAGTGTGTCAAAGAGGATCTTGGGGTAGGACTCTCCAATGTACATTGTTTCCCTGTCCCAGCGAGCACCCTCCATGAAGAGACCTCTAACGTAGGCGCCGTCATTTGGCTTCTCAGCCATGTGGGTCTCCTCTCTGGTGACCTCAAACTCAAAGCCAATGTGGTCTATAGGGATGGTGTACTTCCGGGCAAAATTCTGAGACACTCCTGTGAGGAAGGACTGAGTGAAATAAAAGCCAGAAAGCCAGAAGACCGGTGGTGCATCACTATCAATCCAGTCTTGTAGGAACTGCAGCCGAGCTAACAGATCGGTCACGTAGCTCCCCAGTGGCTTGAGAGATGGGTAAGACTTTGCTGCCCACATTGCAGGAACCTTTCCTACCACCATGCTGTTAAAGACACCCTCAAGTTCTGAAGACATAACAATTTGACCTTTCAGAGCCTTCTGAAGGTTTACCAAGCTCTCACGCACTACTTCTGTGAGTCTGTTGAAGCGGATAACTTCCTGTCTTAAAACTGTGTTCATGGATTCCTCATACATAACTGGATATTTTTCGATGACCTGTTGTATGTCAAAGTCTGGTGGAAGCTTAGAATGGATGTCTGCTGCAAGATCATTCACTACTTCCTGAGGAGACTTACCGGCACCCCCCATCTGCCTGGGCAGCGTGGACAAGACTCCACTAAGGAGCTGATTGGTTTCCTGATTGTCTTTCGTAATGTCAGCATTGCTGTGAAGTCCAAACACACATGGGTCGGCACAAATCGGTAAACTGCGAATGTAGTCGACGTACGTCTGGTACGGGCCATGAACCGGGATATAGTACTGATCCCCCTCACAGACTTTGTAGCCTTCCTCCTGTATTAGTTCCCAGTTGTAGAAGATGGACAAGAGTGAGAGCAACAGACGTCTGTCTTTGTCATCGGTCACCCTGCCGCCGTAGTTGCATTCCCCCGTCAGGTATGCGAGTGCGGCCAGTGGAACCTCCTCATACTCATCTAAGAACATCTGAATCTGCCGAATGCTAATTCGCAGGTCAGACTCATTAAACTCGTATGGGATATTCCAGCCTAAAGGCCCAAAGTTCCTCCTTTCCTGCACCAGTGCATGAAAGAAGGTCAGACCAAACAGGAGCTTCTGCCAAATCACTTGTTTTTTTGAACTTTCAAAAAAGGATGGGTCAGAGATGGGATGACTCTGGTACGACCGCAGCAGATTGGCTCTTATTCCTTTGGGAGGCTCATTGGTCATCTTTAGCCCATTCTGCAGGATACTCACTGGGAACTTGTCAGACGGATAGCTCGTTAACCACAACCTAAAGTTCGTATGTGTGTTCTCTGGTGTGATGGTTACTTCGCAGATTCTTTCTAGGGCCGGCATCCAGCTAGTGGCTAGATGGCAGTTTTGCAGCACCACCCATGTACCCTCTTTGATGGCTTTGTCAATCATCTCTGCTGCTATGGGTCCCTGGCCCTGGCCCAGGGAAATAGTTTGGGTTTTACCGCCTCCCATTTCAACATCATCAGCAAACTTTAACAGAACTGCAGTTGGGTCTGAACCTGGTGACAGCACAAAGATTAGGGGGGAGCAGCAATTTGAGTCTTTGTAGCTCCCCTCCAAGTCAAATGTTGGTGGTTCAATATAAGAGCGTCCCATGTTGTCCTGTATGAAGTCTTGCACAGCCGGCACTAGTTTATCTGGTCTGAAGCATCTAATCACCACCATCCTGATCATCCCTTTTAGCTCGTTCCACTTGTCAGGCAGCTGTTCCTGATGGGGATGTCCTGAATCATAAAGTTTCTTCCATTCAGAGATGTTGCTTTGGACGTGTTCAAAGAAACCACCCAAATCTGGTAGCTCAGAGGCCATGACAATCTCTGTCCAGGATTTTTCAGACAACCACTCTGGAGCAGGGTTGGAATGTGGGTTATCCAAAGCAATGCCACCCGTTAAAAGAAAATGCCAGACTTGGTCTACAATCTGACCCCTACCCTGCATGATGCCCACAGTGAGTAGCAGGGAGAAGAGCAATTTGTCCTTCTCAAAAAGGGAGCGGCAGACGTTTTTATAGATGCAGAGGGTGAAATATTCAACAATGTTGGCAATTCTTTCATCCACATCGTCACTCTCTACACTCTCAGCAATGGAAAACAAGTAGAGATGGATAAACCAGCTCAAGGAGTACTGATACATGGGATCAATGTTGGCCAGCTGGGAGATGCAGAAAAACAAAATGGAGGAGTGCTCTGCCACTGGGCGGTAGCCCATGCGAGTGTCATCAATCTCTTTCTCAGTAACACTTGCAATCTTTTGCTTTTCAGAAATCTCCTCTGAAAGAATCTTAGAAGAGGACAGGATTTTAACTGCACCCTCATCCTCCAGGATGTTCCCTTCAGAAGAGGAAAGAACCTGCAGAATCTTATCTTCAATTTCCTTTAGCTGTTTGTTATTGGCAGCACTTTCTAGAATGAGCTGGTTCTTCTTCTCTTCAAGTTCCGGTCTCTCTTTGGCAACAACAAGTCCCAAAAGCTGATCCTGCAAACCTTGTGGTGTAATCATGAAGTTCAAGAGACAGACCTTCGCAGCTACTTCAGGAAGGTAGTGAGGGTTTCTCAGTCCAGTGGTCATGTAGAACTTAAAATCTTTACAGTATTCCACAATGTTCTCCCCTATCTTCATGCATTCCATGCTACCCTGTTTAAAGGTTTGCTTCAGTAACACTGGTTCAAGTACTGGGTGAAGTTCTTCTCCAACATTTTCCATAAGAACAGGTGTACCGAAAGGAATACTATTCTCCAGTACCCTCACATAGTTATCATCAGAGATTTTGATGACGGCAAGATTATTTGCTTTCTCCATGTTCTTGATCCATTTGTTGGCTTGACCCTGGGGATCTATCATTAGAGGCCATCGTCGGGAGTTAAATGCAATAATACCATTATCTGTTGAAAAAGAGTCCACTGGTAGACCAGCGATCTGCCATGCCCTGATCGCTACCTGATTACCAAGAGTATTGCTAAGAGTGAAGTCCGCAGAACAGGGGATTTCCTGCTCTTGGCACAACTTGTGCCAATTTTCCTGACATATCGTACGAAAGTCCACTGTAAATGCCCCTAGGTAGGACACTGTTCCTGAAGAGAGGAGAATGTCACCCGTTAGGTTAGTGTACCTAATACCAAGGAGCCTTGCAGCTTCTGTCCACCTGTCCTTCTCTCCACCCAGTCCTCCAATCAGCTTCTCTGCCCTGACCAGTTTCTGAGAACACAGTTCAATGTTGTCCTCCAGTCCTTTTTTCTTCTTGATCATCTCCTCCAGTTCGTCGTTCAGACACTGCAGTCTGTCCTCTACTTCCTTCAGCTCTGCTCTCTTCACAGTCAACATTTCCATCTGTGTTGCCAGCTCATCCTCGGCTTCTTTTAATTTCTCTTTCTTTGGGGCTACAACCTTGGCCACTCGTTCATAAACCTCCATGGCTCGCACCCACTTACAGAGACCCTCACAAGCTGAAGAGACATTTTTAATGACATTGGGCAGGAATTCGGGGTTGTCAATGAACTTTTCTCTGATTTTCTTAATGAAAGGGGCTGGAATGTTGTCTTTGTCGTATGTTTTTAGACTTTCCAAAAACTTTTGGTCTGCTAGGAGTTTCTTTGAAGGACCCCAGAAGTCTTCAACCATCTTACCTGAGCCTTTGGGATCAGGTTTTTTCTCAGGTTTAATGCCCTTCATTATACAAATGGATTCCATGACGAGTTTGACTGGTCCAGGTGGGTTCTTCATTGATTTCACTTCTGTAATATGGGCAGGTTTTAAAGTGTCCAGAGCTAACAGGGCAGCTTCCAGTGCAGGCATTGCTTCTGCTAGGTCTTGCTCGCATTCACTTTTGATGACCTGAGCTGCTGCTGCTGCTTCATTTGCAACCTTCTCATCAGCTGATACTATTTCTTTCTTTGCATCTACTTCCACCGTTTCTCCCTCAATCTTAATCATCATTTGATCTGTTTCAGCTGATGTCTTTATGAGGTCTGGCTGCAAAGCTGTGAGTTCCTGCTGCATCACTGACACTTGAGATGCGGCAAAATCTAGCTTTTCCAGACCCACTATATACCGGTTCCTGGCTGTATCAACTTCATTCCTTTTAAAATTGAGCAGAGTCTTAAAAGTCAGAATGAGCTCAAGGTAGGACGTGGGTGTGACATAATTGTACCTTCTCAATTGGTCAAAGTAATTTTGAGACATATCTTTGACACTTGTTTGGAAGGTTTTGCACATAACCACTACCTCAGTTCTGACTTTATCATCCATTTCCACATCTTCCAAGAACTTGTGCGCCACCATCTCCAGAGCATCATTAGGCCATGCGTGAAACCAGTCAATTGTACAGCAATTAATAAGGGAGGGGAACATCCTGAGACGGTTCCTGAATGCATCACCAATGGGACTCATGGCGAGCACAATATGAAGTTTGGCCTTCACACGTTCGATGAAGAAATTGTACAAGGACAGTGGACTAGGATCAATTTTTCTGCCTTCCATGCGAGCGATTCCTTGAGATTTCTCAAGGATTTCTGCACGCTCATCTGAGGGAAAGATGTTTGGTACATCACCAGTGTTAAGTAACATATTGATGTCTTCCAACATGGCCTCATCCTTGATTTGACTGTCATTAAACAGGAAAACTGAGTCATTGCCATCTAGGCCTGATTTCAGCATCATGCGTTTCAGGTCATCTCTCCAGTCTGACATGCTATAGGTTTTAGTCAGCTCAATTGTGAACAACATGTAATCATTTATGTATGTGGCCAGCTTTGTGGCGCTCTGACGTCCTGAGCCACCAATGCCAACAAGCAGAAGGTGTCCATTGTTCTGTTTCAGCACTCGGCAAATGCGAGAAACATGTTCAATAGCAAATTTAAACAAAACCAGAGACATGGGTGTCTTGCTGCAGCTATTGTACTCATCCAGATAGCCATCCATTACTTGCTGTAGGGCTTTCAAGTCTGTTATTTCATCATAAACTCTGTTATCAGCGTCAGGCAATCCATAGTCACCAAAGAACAAGCTACGTATGCTGTCATCCTCCACATTACCACTTGGGGAAAGGTGAGCCGCAACCTTGTCTATGCTCTGTTTGAATAAATCCATAGTTCTCTGCTTAACAATGTTAAAGAATGTCTGCTTGTCCTCCTCATCGATAAGTCTGTCATAGAATACACGATAGACCTCATGAATCCACAGGCGGATCAGCTTGTCTTCATTCTCCATGTGGGTGTGTGGTGTCAGAAGTACACCTCGAATTACTCGAGCAAAGTCTCGCAAGTTGAAAATGTAGTGGGATTTAGATGGGGTCGGGAGGAAGCTGTCGATGGCGTCTTTATAGACTGCCATTGTGGCCTGGACCAAGATCTTGCCTAACCTCCCAAAAGAGGGTTCAAAGCCTTTGCTAAAGTGCCAATCCGTGATGGAACTGAAAATCTTTGTCAGTGTTTCGTCATCAAAGCTATTAATTGTGACTATATTTAGGTGGCGAGTCAAACGGCCTGTAACGTCATTTCTTCCACCACCAGGAGGCCCAGTTGCAGACATAAATAAGACATCAACTATGTTCTGTCTAGAGGTGTCCTTCCGGTCATACCAGTGGCGATGGTCTATCCACTGCCTGAGCAGTTCAATTGGGGGTTGTGCACCATAGATTTCTTTAGCAGGCATGTTCAGGTCATCAACATAAACAATGCATTTTTTCCCCATCGGCGGTCCAAATGTGCCCTTCTTTCTACGGTCCAATTTTGACATGATGATATCTTGTGTCTGATTTGCTGAAGTACGGGCTGAAAAGTTGATGCAGTTTGGTGTGTACTTCTCCTTTGGCAGCTTTTCCAAAAAATTGTTGTTTATGGCAGATTTTCCGGTTCCGGTGGGTCCCACAAAAAGCATAGGTATTTCATGTATCAGGTAGGTGCTCAGGAAAAACAATTGACGTGCAGTCTCCATGGTCGGAATGATGAGATCTGAAACATTGGCCTCTGCTCCAATGGTGTTCTCTTCCTTTGTGATCAAATCAGTCCATACATGCCAATGGCCTTGGTCTTCTTTATAGAAGTAATAGTCATAAACAGTTCCTCTGTCGGGGAAGATATTGTTCTTTTTTAGAGTAACAATCTTAGGCCGGGGTAAATCCTTATTTGCACCCGTGACCAAATCACGGTAGAATACACTGAACATCTTACGACTCTCTCCAGTAATGGTCCCACCCACTGTCCATACAACTGCAAACACAAACAGGCCCTGTAGCCACATGGTTATCTGCTCACCGCTCAGTTTCTGTCCATTACAGGTTCCTTCGGCAATCTCGTCCATCAAACAGGTATACAACTTCATCTGACACTGAACCAGATGGATGGGTGACGTATCAATAATAAACCGACATTCATTGTATATGAAATCTAAACAGGGCTGAATGATCCAGTCATAAAGGGCCACAATCAGTTCTCTGTCCTGTTCATTTAGGTGTTTGGGCAGAGTGTTCATGTAGGAGTCTCTTAGAGGCGTCCAGCCCAACTGATCAGGTTCCATGTAGATCATACCACACCTGCTGACCGTAGCTGGGGAGGCTTGCTCCAGGTCTGCAGTTTCAAAGATTAGACTCATCTTGGCGCTCATCTGTATGATCTCACCACTCATTAGACAAAGCTTTTTGTTGTCATCCAACACAGTGTTCATGTTCTCAATCCAGACAGCATCAATGGGTCCATCAAATATGATCCACTGCCTATCTTCTGAGGTGGACATAGCCTGATCTCGGTACGTGGTAGCCAGGACACCATCAGACCACTCATGGCTGACAGGATCAAAGCAACCATACAGTTGTCCCATGGTGATGGACTTGGGGTTGATGATGCTGTAACTCACTGCAAACTCTTCCATCAGTTTGGCTTTGTAAAGGTCTTTAAGAGCTGCTGCAAGAACTTTATAGGAACAAGTCTTTCCTCCTAGTGGTTCTCCCACGATCATAAAGCCATGGCGCACCAACATCATCTCATACACCTGGATAATTTTCCCAATGAACCATGGGACTGACTGAAGGTTGAGCTTATCAATGTTTTCATTGAGTGCATTTAGTAGAAGCTCATAATCTGGTTTTGGAAGAACAACGCCAGGAAATAGGTCAGAGATGATGCCTTCAAACAGAGGGACATCCTGAGCCAGGAACTTAGCCATGTTTACATCCATCAGCGCTCTGAGCAACAAGACACTTTCATTCTCTTCAGGATACTTAAGCTTCAAATTTCCTGCTGCCGTCAGTACAGACTTGACAGCTCGCATACCGTAGTCATAATGGTGCTGGGAGGACAGCTGCTCCGAACACAAACGGTACGTGGCCACAATCTTCTGAGCCAATGCACGGGATTCAATGAAGCCCATAGAGTATAATGAAATCTCTGCAATGAGACCATAATCTGGAACCATCATAGCCACAGTACGGAAGAGGGCCTTCAGGTTGTCGGGAAGTTCAGCTCTGCCAGCATAACCAGGGTTCATGGTGATGAAGACATTGCACGTTGGGTTGAGTGACAGCAGTGTTCCTTCAAACATGAATTTCTTAAGATCCTTAGCAATGGCCTGTTGTATGCAGAGAATCTGTTGCGCCACCACAGACAGCACCTCCACCTCAATACGATTGAACTCATCAAAGCAAGCCCAAGCTCCGGACTGAGCCAGCCCTTTGAAGAACTTACTCATAGCTTTGTAATCTAGGCCATCCGAACAGTTGAAGACCACACATTGCTTAGCCAAGGCTTTGGCCAGATCTTTTGTGGTCTCAGTCTTACCGGTACCAGCAGGCCCCTCTGGGGCCCCTCCTAGGTTCAGCTTCAGGGCTCCCATGAGAGTTCTGTAACAGCGGTCTGTCAGTGGTGTGATGACCAGACGAGGAGAGTTTCCCAGGTATTCATAGCCATATTTCACACACGTCGTGATCATTCTTAACATGACATCACCACCCTCCCAGAAGTAACGCAGCTGAGAAATCCATGCAAAGTCATTCAGTGAGGAGATTTTGTCATCGGACAGTTCGGCCACAACATCTCGAGCATGAACGTCAATTACAGTGAGGGCACCAAGAGTCATCCTGGCACCTCCTAGGAGTTTCCCTCGCACCAACTCGACGATGTCAGCTATCTGCGCATTGCTTTGTTCAACGTAGTCGGGTAGAGTGTTGGTGCTGATGGCTTCAGACACTTCGCTCGTCCAGAAAATGGAGGACGCACAGATGACAACTTGGCCTGGCCACTGCAACACCCACTGCTTTCTGGGTACCTCGGCGTACTGATTAACCCCTTCACTGATAACGTGTTGCACACTCTTTAGCATCATGTGCTCCACCTGCAGTAGCCACTTCTCCACCATACCATTGGCTTGGGATGGAAAAATCTTCTCTGTGAAAGGCACTGTTTCCTTCTCTGAGCTGATCATGCCAGTAATTTCCAGGTCTTTATTAAACTCCAGTTTGGCGATGCCCTCAAAGCATTTCTTTAGGTGAGGTTGTACACACAGGGGGTCTTTGGTCTGAGACAATATCTCAAGGAGTTCATCATTTGACAGAAAGAAGAACCTCGGGAAGTAGAGCCTTTTCATTTCCAGATATGTGTTGAGTCCTTTTTGTATGTCATCCAGAAGCACATTGGACTCCTGCAGGCGCTCCAGCATGTTGGGCTGGTCTGTTGCTATCATCACATGTGTGTTCTTCATAGTCTCTGCAATCATAGTCTTATAGTAGCCGTCCACAATACCAAACTTGCGTCCCTCCTCAGGCATTTGTGCAATAATGTCTTCAGAACTGAAGATGGGTTCCAAGTAGAGCCAAGTAGCCTGGCACTTAAGCAAGGAATCAAGTATGTCCTGCATACTTATCAGCTTGTCCTCCCATTTCTTACATTCCGCTTCAATTGGCTTAATGAAAGGCGAAGCTTTCATGGTTTGTGTTTTCATGATGTGATCATCCAACAGCAGCTGGATCTCATCCACAGCCGAAACTATTTTGTATTCTGTGTCTCTGTATTGACTGAGAGAGAAATGCAGATCAGTCCATTCACCCTTCATGTTTTCCATGTTCTTTTCCAGGGAGAACTCTTTAGTGGCCAGGGCTCCAATTTCTTCCAGCTCTTTGGAAAACTTGGAGAGCCCCAAGTCCAACATGTCCAGAAGAGAACTGTTTGCATCTGGTTTAACTTCGAAGCCTACCATGTTGCCAATCTGCTCCCAGTGGTGGTCTTTGATGCCTGGGTTGCAGACAGTTGATAGGACAGATAGATGTCCCTTGAACTCGCCAATCTTGCTTTTGAAGCACTGGGACACACGCGCAGGTCCGACCAGCTCAGCAAAGGTCTTGTTAAGTTTGTGCATGGTCCTCCACATGATGTCCAGCTCTTCAGTGATCTTTTCAGCATTAAGGTGTTTAAAAGGACCATTCATCCACACTTTGGAGTTGGTTTCAAAGTTCAGGACAGTGGTCCAAAGTTGCTCATGTGGGAGTTTATCAGCTATCATGATTTGCAACATTGGAAAGTGGCTCTGGTCCTTCTTCAACAGTTCTTGCTCTTTGTTTATCTCCTCCAGTTCATTTACAGCTGCTTCGAGGTTGGTGCTGATCTCAGTGAGAACCTGCACGTTCTTTTTTATCTCCTCCATTGTCATTAATTCTTTCTTTTTGAAAGACTGTATCTCTTTGTCCATGTCTTGTAGTCTGTGTTCAAAGTCTTTGATTCTCCTTTTGAGGGTGTCCTCAACCCATTCCTTCATGCCTGCCAGACGAGCCGTACTCTCCTCGAGTTCCCCAAGGATTTGTTTGGGCCACTGGAAAAGATGTGCATTCAGCACTACATCGTCGGGCGGCAGAATGGCATAGTCCAGGAGAAAGATGAGGCGGTCCCTGGCTTCATCAATCTCAATTTTCAGGTCGTGTACGGTGACTTCACTGGTCTTCTTAATGAACTGATTTTGCGACACCACATCTGCTGTGTTTTCTGGCTTTTTTCTGACCGTGTTCATAATCACCTCATATTTGTCACAGATCCCCTGGTTGAGTGCTCGGTTCTGGTCCACTTCAAACTGGATTAATGTGTCCTTCAATCCATCACACCTGTTACACAGGTCTTCATTCAGTTTTCCAGCATCCACACAGAACATGGACAGAGCCACTGTCGTAGGAAGTGAGGCGATTTCTTTCCACGTGTCATTGAGGCTCTCGATTTTGTCATGAAAGATTTCTAAGGTGTTCTCCTGTGTCAGGAAAACTTCCATTTCCTCCTGTGCTGTATTGTCCAGTAGGTTGTGGTACTTCTCATATACATTCAGATACTTCGTGGGTCCAACAGTGTTTCTGTTAAAAATGTCCTCAACTTTGTTGACTAGATCTGTAACAAGATATTCCTCAGGTTTCACAGTGCGCAGGTACAACTTGTTGATTTCACTAAATATGGTACACTCCACTCTCTCGATGTTCTCCGCACTTTTGAGGATCTCCATGAAGGCTGTATGAACGATCTCCCAGCAGTTTTTAAAACTAGGACAGAATATTATATTAGGCTCCTTCACTCTCAGTTTCACCAGCAGAACTTGGGTCTCAACGTACTGGACCTCATTGAATACCTCTCCAAAGTCATTGCCCTGTTGATGAATGGTGAAGAACTGCAGCAGATCCTGCAGTGAATCTATGACCATGCTACGAAGTTGCAGTGACATGAGCGCAGCCACGCAATTGAAAAACTCGTGCACGTGAACCAGGGCCGCCTGCTCACTTTGGTGAACACCGGGAGACCACAGGTCATTGTAGTTGTCCAGTAGGGTGGCACATTGACGCAGCCACTTTTTAGCAAGTTCCTCTCTGGTTTGTAGGCACTGTTTATGGACAAATGTCTCAAACTCGCACGGGACGAGGGGGAGGTCAGCGGAGAAAAGGTCTTCAATGTTGACAAACCTCAAAGATGAAAAGGTGCTGAGCCAGAGGTCTTGCAGCATTATCATGATGGGATTGATATTGAAGAGGTGTAGGCTCTGCCATGTCAAAGCCTTCTTGTAGTTCTCTGTCCAGGGCACAGGGGCACAGATAACCTTCCTCGGGAAGGCTTTGGGAACGCTGGTTATTGACAGTCGCTTTCGCTCGGATGGGTCCAACAGAATGTGGTCCACTATGCTCTTCTTCAGACTGAAGTAATAATCTTTGGTGACCTCTTTTTCTAAGATGGCCCTAAACACCTGCATAAGTTTGTTGCTGCCGTCTGCCTCAGGAGGCAGCAGGCTCAGGATGTCGTCCATCTGCTCTTTGGACTGTGGGACCACCACAGAGTCGGGGACAACATCGTCAATGTAGTGTATGTACCGTTGTAGATCTCTAGTGTTGGGTTTAGGCTCGACGTTCCTGACTTTGTCCTCGTGACTATTGATGATGTTTAGCTGCTCTGAGGGACTCATGGGTCTGCTGCCACGAATAGACTCAGTAGGAGCGCGGCGGTGATGCAGCTCCCTGTACGGGATTGCCACATCTGTTGAATGGGGGTGAAGGATCGGTGGGTACTGACTGTTTCTCTTCACACTAATGTACAGTTCTGAGGGTTCTTCACCTGCCGGCAAAGGAGGAGGGAAACCGCGCCCTCGTCCTTGACTGGTACCTGGTTCTTCATCCGTGGGCCTTTGTCTCTTCATCCTGTTTGGTTGTAAGTTGGTGAAAAACCAGAACGTTGAAAAACTTTATTGACGGTTTCTTCTGTGTTCTGATGGAGATGACATTCTTCTTTATGTCTGTTCCTTGCCTGTGATTTGACTACTTGGCTAATTCACCAGGTGTCCTCAGTACATCTTAGCAATTAGCTTAAACAGGCATCAAAGCCTTTGATGTGGTGGTGATGTCACCTTTAAACAGAGATGAAAGTGCACATATGTATGCCTACAGTAGTGACTGCTGTTTCAGGCTGTAAAAAAACAGAATCTGAAGACCTTGGTTTTTCATTACCTCACAGATCCTTCGTGTGGACTCGATTAAAGGGTTAATGCCACTTTTGAAAGCTGAAACCTTCAAAAGTTCAATTTTAGGCAAACGTTCTCAGGTCTCTCTCTCTCTCGCTCTCGCTCTCTCTCTCTCTCTGTGTGTGTGTGTGTGTGTGTGTGTGTGTGTGTGTAAGCTTGGGTAGCTATGCGTTTTAATGATGTCACACAGTTGAGTTACAAAGTCTAGAATTTATTTGGTTTTCAGTTTGAACCTTTTATTTGCCTGAGACCTAAGTTAAAGATCAAGTTTGATTCTGAGGCAACAGCCTGTACTGTCTGAGGTACTGTCTGAGGTACTGTCTGAAGTACTGTCTGAAGTACTGTCTGAAGTACTGTCTGAAGTACTGTCTGAAGTACTGTCTAAGACACTGTCTATTCCTGACACCTGATTACTAATGATATTTTTAAGAAGAAAAAGAAAAAGATTATTAAATATCCTACAAGACAAACATTTTTTAAAACTGATGTAAAAATCTAAATATTTTTTTCAAGAACCCTCATTTGAATCTGTTTAGATGTGAAAATAAATAATCACAAACAAATAAATAGATCAATAATAAATTATGGCCCCACAGATTCCCCAAGGAGACTGAATACAAGCGTTAATGTCACAGTCACTTTTGTTTTTCTATACTTTCCAGAAATCCATCTCCATCTTCAGGAACTTTCCCTGAACCTGGCAGTTCTCCTTTTAGGAGAGAACCACGTCACATGTTAGATGTGAGAGGGTTTTCAGGTGTTAGCGTGACGTCGTTAACACTGGTGTTTGAACGCTGGTGTCTCTGAGCTGGTTGTCCTAGTTTCACCTCCCCCGCGCTGGTCTGATCTTCATCTGTTTGACTTGTCTGACTGTAGGTGTTCTGTTGTCTGTTCTGGATCAGTAGCTGTTCAGATGATGGCTGATCTGTTAACCACCTAGGATCAGTATGTTACAATCCGGCCCCACACTTGACACCAGCTGTGACCAGGTGAACAGAAGGTACACCATGTTTCCTTAGGACTCATGGGAAAAAAGTGATGAGACAACAAAACAGACTCTGGACCAGAGTTAAATATCCTAAAGTTCTGGTTTTGGTTCCACATGGTTCTTGAAGATGAGTCAGATCAGGAGGTCAGAACTGTAGAGTGAGAATGTCCTTCATAAAAAAGTTGCTGGAACATTAAAAACCTCCAGTCCATGAGCTGAAGGAGGAGAGCGGGTTTCAATACTAGTGTGGGAATCTAATGTTCTTCAAGGCCCAGAAGATCTTCTATGACCAGGGGGAAACATCTGCTGCTCTTGGGCTATGGTTATCACTTGGATGTTGGGGCAGGAGATCTGGGGTTAAATTTACTGGGACTTCCTTCACAGGGAGAGACTGAGAGGTGGACGAAGAGAGATGCTGGTGAGAGGCTGGAACCGTCCTGCCGGAGGAGTCGGACATGACGATAACCTGCAGAGAAAAAAGAGAGATGAAGCCACCAGAGAGAACATGTGCAGGACGTTCTTTCACTTGTGAGAACCCACCTGTTCTGAGGCTGGTCAGAGGTAGAGTGAATTGGCCTAAGAAGTCGTTACTCAAGGTGTAGTCGTGATCTTCTACCACAAAACGAACCAGAGCCAAGTCAGGTGCATGGACGGTGAAGTTGAAGGTACTGTCCCACCGTGGGTTAAATCCTGAGGAGAAGGTTGAAAAAAAGTTGGATGATTCACTGTTTTATCAGCTGGTTTCCAGGTCCAGGGACTTCGAGGTCTTTACCGTTATTGTCAACATGATTGGTCTTCTTTTTGCTGTTGTCAATAGGAGCTCCATGGATCTCCACCCACACCTGAGGGTCGACGATTGAGCTGGGCTTGTCTCCTCCTGGTTTAGGAAGCTGCTGAGCAGAAATCACCTGAGAAAAGGAGGAGGAGGACGCTGCTGAGCAGAAATCACCTGAGAAAATGAGGAGGAGGAAGAACTGATGAATGAGGAGGAGGAGGAGGAGGAGGAAGAACTGATGAACGGCTCAGGAAAGTTGGACTCAAGAACCTGCATTTCCACCTGTTTAACTTGTGTCTCAGCTAGAGGGTGCTGTCTTACCCTGATAGTTAAGAGCAAAGGATTGTGGCCTGGACCTCCGCCCACGTTCTCAGGGTGGAAGGTGGTGCTGGGCCGGCACATGAAGGTTGGTTTGAGGATGTATCCACACTGACCGTTTTGCAAGAACCTTCCCTGGTTCAGATCCATTTGCTCACCTGGAGTCTGGAAGTTCAGAGCCACTGAAGAAAAACACAGCAAAGTGGAATCAGAAGGATTCACCTGGAGCCAGAGACCTCCAGAAGCCAGCACTCACCGATCTGACAGCCTGCGTTCCACATCTCCTGAGGGTTGTAGTTGGACGACTGCAGGCGTTGACCTGAAGGGTAGATCCTGCTCAGCTGGTGACTGTTGTGACGAACAAAATGAATCCCTAAAACCAGGAATAAGGACACATGGATCTGGTTCTGCAGGAGCAGCTGTGACTGTGAGGAGCTGGAGTTTCATTGGAAGCCAAACCTGAGTCTTTGATGAGCCTCAGAGCTTCACTCTCAGAGAAGGAGGACATTTCAGATGCTGGCTTCTTGGAGGCCTCTTCAAAGGTTCTAAAAGAAACGCTGCGGGTGTAGACCACCAGGTCTGACAGTTCTGGACTCAGCTGTGGAAGGAAAGAAAAATGGAGAAAAACCTTCAGAATCACAGACCATCATTTTATCTGAGCCAGAACTGGGACGGACTCTAGAACGAGAGGAAGTGAATAGTTCACCTCCTCCCTCCCTCCACACTATGCTCTCCTGAATCTAAACAGTCTAAATAGTCTGGACCTTCTGGACTTGTCTCTATGGTGTTGGTTCTCGTCAGGTTCTAATCTGGATTTAAACCTGGAGCAAACCTACTTCCTGAGATGAGAGACTCACACACCTTGCCATCTCCTTTTTTTGGGTGTGGTTTCCCATCATGCCTGCTTGCCTCCTCATCTGAGGAGCTAAGCTCTGAAGTGCTGGATGAAGCCTCCTCCACCAGGACCTCCTTCTTCCCCTTCACCAGGATTCTTCCTTTGAGATCCTGAGCCCAGAAGGAAAGGAAACAGAAATGAAGCCAACAGGAAATGACATACGCCAGACTCAGGGTCCTACGGTTCTGGACTTTTGTGTTCTTTTGTGACTTCTTACCTCAGGAGAAGGTAGTTGGTGAGGATCCAGACCAGGGAGGGGTTTGGTGAGGAGCTTATGTCCCAGGATGGATCTGAGGTGTCGGGCCATGACTGTCTGCTGCTCCACAGAGCAGTGGTTCTCCAGAGACAGGATCACTGGGTATGGAGATGCCTGGAGCAGATGAAGAAAAACACGGCAGACAGGCTCGGTTCTGTTCAGGTACCTGATCTCAAACATGTTGTTTTCAGAACAGTGACACTGGGGAGGACTCACTTTGAAAGCGTACTCGTCGATGACCTGGATGACCTTGACAAATGGGACTTTGGAGGTCAGGGTGTGTCCATGGTAGATGACGGGTTCTCCTTTGTCCCCGTCCCAACAGTCCAGTTCCACACAGCGGCAGCCGTGGCTCAGAGCCCTGAGGACAAACAAGTCACAGAATTCAGAAGATTTAGTCCAGATCATGTCCACGAACCAATGTTTCTGTCCAACCAACAGTCTACAGACCAGGGCTCTTCACCAGTGTGAATTCAACAACCTACTGGGCTGTTAGCCCGACACTGAAAACAACTTGAGAGTTAGGAGCAGCTCTTTAGCCAACAGTTCTCGAATGTCATAGCAAACAGTTCCACATGCTGGAACTAACCACCGTGGAAACACAGGCTGTAGACAAGAACTGTTTAGGTTCTGGTTTCCTCACCGTATATATGGCTCAGTACTGCTGTCCCCGGTGATCTGGTCTTTGGTCAAGTACGTGTTGTGAGACGAGGAGATGAAGTAATGGGCCATTGGTCGGGTCATGTCCTGATAAACCCGCGAGTGGTCCGGGTCGAACACACAGTTCTCTCTGGACAACATGTACATGGTGAAACCGTTGGGCGTCATGAACTGGTTCTTCTGGGCTGTACTGGGCCAGAGACGAAGGGGACAAACAGGACTAGTCAGGGTACTGTTTAGACCCAGCAGAGATTAGGACGAACGTTTAGTTTTTAGCATTTGATGGAGAACAAGGACAGAAAGAAATGTAGCAAATATCTGACCTGTTGAGTTTGTACGTCTTACTCTCACAGACCATAGTCCATAGAGAAAATCAGTGATTTTAGTTCAGACCAAAGTCCATAGAGAAAATCAGTGATTTTAGCTCAGACCAAAGTCCATAGAGAAAATCACTGATTTTATTTTCTATGGACTTGGTGGTCTTGACGAGTCATAAAATAAATCAGGTCAACATCTATTGAGTGGCTAACACCTGTTGTTTTCCACAGGAAGTCTAGGATTAGAGTGAGTTTTCAAAGAGTGAAATAAAACAATCCTTTTCACAGCCCATGACTCTTCCTAATCTTCGTACCCCACTCGTTGAGTTCATATGTGAGGATGAGGCTCTGGGCGTGGACCAGTGAAGCATCTTCTCCCTGGTCCTTCAGGAAGTCCTTCAGATCCACAGTGGACAGAACACATCCGTTAGCTGAGTATCGGATGAAGACGGCGTCCAGCTCTGGCCTCCGTAACAACTCCCTGCAGAAAACCTCGATCTCGCCGTGGTCCAGTCGACCATCAGCTGAGCGGTCACACTTCTGTCCATGACACAGGATAAGATAGAGATGTTTATTCCAGTGGAGCTGGAGCTTATCTGTCATGTGACCTCTGTTGTTAGACAAGTTGTGCTGAGTCATTGTAGGAAATTCCTGCAGCGTTTAGATTCATGTTCTGAGCAAACATTGGGTAAACATGTGCTAACATATAGCCAAAATGTAGCCCTGTAAAAAGTACTAACTGACCCTTTACTAGCATTAAGTTTTATTCCTAATAATAATACGTCAAGCACAACCATAGAGGAGGAAAAGATTATCAGAGCTACAGCTAATAATTAGCAAAGAAACAGCTAAAACAATCATTTAAGTTTAGCTCAAACTCTTTGACAAAAATGCTACAAGTGTTTCCCAATCAGAGCTAAAAGTTAGTGCAGTAGTGGCTTATAGAAACTAAACCCATCTTAGTGAGAATGAAGTACCTGGAAGAGGGTGTGTGCGTACTGATCACTCAGATCAATGTTGATCATCTGCAGCAGGGTCTGCACCTCCTCGTAGCTCATCTTGTCGTCGTGGTTCTGGTCGGCCCGGCTCAGGTAAGCATGGATCCAGGTGACGCCAGCGCACAGTTAAGGAAGTGACAACACACACTGATCTTTCTGCTCTGTTTCTACAGCCTGCACTCTGACAGGATATTGGTCCAGTTTCTCCTTCTGGGTCATGTTCTCCACCCTCCCCTGCAGGGTCCTGATCCCTCTGGCCCAGTTCTGGGCCTCCTCCGGACTCTGGCACAGCAGATCCAGACTCTTCCTGGGACCTTTAAAGACCACAGTCAGACAGCGGCCTTCGGGTACCGATTCACCCATCAGCCTCAGCGTCTCCGATTGACATCCTTGACGAACGCACTCCACCTCCGTGATGGAGACTAAGGAGGAAACGGGAGCAGAGAGCCAGGTGAGGAGAAGAAGTCCAGACTCGGTCAAAGTTCAGTTTGGTCTGGGCTTTTGTTTTTCAAATAGTTACCAGGTAAAAAAAGGAACAAGAAAGACAAACTGAAAGTTGGTCAGAAATTACTTTTTTTTTTTTAAATGGATGAAGATGGAAATTTGACAAAGCAGCTGAGACTGGAGACAGAAATATGAAAACGAAGTGAAACCGATGATCAGAGTTAAAGACAGAGGAGCAGAAAAGGTTCTGCAGCAGAACATCTGTAATTTCAGGTTCTCCTCTGGGTCATTACACACACACACACACACACACACACAGCCACATCAGGAGCCAGTCTGATTACAGACCGTGTTCTGTTAGATCAGAGTTCACTTCAACTCAAAACTCCTGTCCCTGAGGCCACGCCCACAGGCCACACCACCACCAATCACATCCTCTAATCTGCAGCAGTTTAAAAATAGAGCAGCTCTGTAATCAGTGTGTGTGTGTGAGAGAGTGTGTGTGAGAGTGTGTGTGTGAGAGTGTGTGTGTGAGAGTGTGTGTGTGCATGTGTTTGGTAATTTAAGGTTAACACAAATAGAACAAGTACTTGTTTCCACCTTAAACACACACACACACACACACACACACCTGCCGGCCCAGTCTGAAGGATGATTACAGTTACGAGAGGAGGAGGTGACTCTGCAGCACCTCCTCCTCTCGTCTCCACCCTTGTGTCCACTTTCTTCTTTAAAATAACTCTGACCGCAGGAGTCTAAAATACATACATTTACTGTAAACCACTGGGTAGAAAAGTCATGTGACACAGAGAGCCCCTCTGATTGGAGGGGACAAAAAGGCAACAGAACAGGATGGAAGAGGAGGAGGAGGAGGACGAGGAGGAGGAGATGAAACAGGGTGAAGATCTGATCTGTGATCATCTGTGATCTGATTCCAGAATCTTCTCTCTGTTTCATCTCTGTCACTAAATCCATAATAGAAATGTCTAAAACCCATGTCCTGGAAACAGTCCTGGGATTCCAGGTATGTCACATTTTCCAGGAAAGTGAGGACTCACATGACTGCAGTTCTTTGGCCCGACTGGACGTCTTGTTGGACTGACACCAGACGGTCACTCCGTCCTCCAGGAGCTTCAACGTCCGTCTCTTCTGCCAGCGAGGAGAACGGATCTTCACACAAATGTAGACCAGATGTCAGGACAGAGAACCTGGAACTGACTGAGAACTGTTGGAGTGGGACTGAGACTGACCTTCACCATACTGGAGCCCTGCAGCATCCTCTGCACATCTGCATCCTCCTGGACTCCTGCTCCTGCAGGAGAACACACACACACACACACACACACACACACACACACACACACACACACACACACACACACACACACACACACACACACACAGACGGTGAGGAGGGGCCGACCATCAGACTGTGAGGAGGTGCTGACCATCAGACTGTGAGGAGCAGTCTGCTCCTCTTATCATGATCAATGTTTTATCTCACAGTCACAGACCAAAGTCCACAGACTGTGGTCAGTGACTTCAGCTGGGACAGTGAGAGGTGAACACTGTCTGAACACACTGACACACATCACATGTTACTGCAGCAGTAACAGGGTCAGTAACATGGTTAGTAACATGGTCAGTAATGTGGTCAGTAACATAGTAACATGGTCAGTAACATGGTTAGTAACGTGGTCAGTAATGTGGTCAGTAACGGGTCAGTCCTGCAGTGATTGACAGGGGAGGTGTGGTTGTTGTTAGACTAACTCTGAGTCTCCAGTTTACTCTGCTCCTGTACCTTTTTATTTTAATAAGTAAAGAGGACACACACACACACAGACAGACACACACACACAGACAGACACACACACACACACACCGCTCTATTTTCAGTCTTCAGTCTAAACCCGTTCACAGAGCAGCAGTGTTTAAAAGGCACGTGTTTGTTTATTCTACAGTGGACTGAAGGGAGAGCTTCAACGTGGAACAATCTGTGTGACTGACTGTCTCTCCTGCTGCCTTGGTCTCTCTGTCTCTGTCTCTGTCTTCCTCACCCTCTCTGTCCCCCGCCTTAGCTCCACTGCTACAGGAGATAAAATTGGAGCTCAGGGTTTTTCTCCACAGATGTTTTCATCAGACCTCAAACACCAGTCCTGGAACCAGTGGGTCCTCAGGGCGTGGCCCAGTGTAGAACTCTGTAAAGCCTTCACTTCAACACTGGGACCACACACACACACACACACACACACACACACACACAGAACCCTGGACTGTGTTTCAAAACTACACAGAACCGTCGGAATCATTTACTGTCAAGGTTCTGGTTCTGACACAGAACCTGTGGAACTGTTTTCTCAGCTCAGACTGACAGTTCTGTCAGAACGGTGTCATGGAGTCAGTGGCTGCTGCACAGAACAGAACATTTTTGACAACAACAACAACAGCAATAACAAAAACACCAAATAATATTTCTGTGTTTGTTATAAACATAAACACCTCCTCAGTCTGACGCTGGAAATAGACCCAGGACAAACTACCCTGCGACCTAGTTACGAACCGCAACCCACATTTTTTAATGCTAAATTAATGTAATTTTGTAGGATTTTCGTCTTTAAACATCTTTATTTAAACCTAAATGATTTTTAAAATGTCTGTTATGTCGCTGTGAACCACAAATGAAGACGAAGATAAAAATTGTTTTATGATGATGTTTCAGAAATCTGTGTGTAAATCTGTGATGACGGCTGGAGAACAACATCTCCTCCATCACCTCCTGCTCCTCCATCACCTCCTGCTCCTCCATCACCTCCCGCTCCTCCATCACTCACCCAGGTTCCTTAGAGGGTCGATGGCCTTCATCTCGGATGTCCCGGCTCCGTTCTTCTTCCGCGGAGCCGCTTTCTGTCTGCTGCCCAACATGACGCTCTTTCTGCTGATGCTGCTCTTACGGCTCCTCGTCTCTGCTCCTTCTCCTCCACCGGCTCCTCCCTGTCCGGACTCTGCTGCTCTGTCCCCTGGTGCAGTACCGGACTCCTCACGGTCTCCTTCAGGGGGACGGTGATGTTGGACTCTAGCGGCTGTTGGGGCATTTATTCTGGGAGAGTCAATTTCCAAACGGCAGACACTCATTTCCGGCTGATTTCAAACTAAAACTTAAATCGCTCCAAATCCTACAACTGGCTTTTTGCCATTGGTGATTTTGGTAGCGGACATGTTCACAGTGTAGTCCACGAGTCCATGCTGACCACACACAGCTGTCACAACCACAATGTAGGACTTGAACCACAGTGGACCACAGTCTACAGACTGATACAGTAGTGTCAAACCTGGGGAAGTGTTCAGTTAAATGTTTTTTTTATTTTGAAAGTCAAACTAACTTCCTGTAGTGATGTCACATTTTGAGCGAACAGAAACATTTGACTGTAAGTGGATTAGTGAGGATTTATGAGTGTGTGTTTATTTTCGTCACATCACAGTCTCCTCCTCAAACACACAGACATTTTCATAGCGTTTTTAAGTTGTTATTTAATAACATTATTATTATTAATATATTAATATAATAATGTGGAAAAACAATGTTCGTTCGATGTGAAAAATGTTTACCTTTAATAATACTACTTATTTATAGATTAAATATAACCAGATTAATGTGTATATTTACGCCACTGCCTGTAGTATTCAGCCTTATTACTAACCCTTCTTTATGAACCTGTTAGTTCTGTTTAGTTATTTAGTTAAACTAGTTTTTCTGGGTTTGTTTGTATGGCGACCTTGTACTATTCTCACTCTGATTTCCACCATTACTATGATGATATTAACGTACATTTCTACATTCCGTAATACAAATATCATTGTTATTATTCAAATAATTATCGCCATCGTTCTTGTACTCCATGTGTAGTTTATTATCGTAAAGACGAAATGTTTTAATGACAGAGTGGGCGTGTCCATTCCTACGTTGCGGAAGTAGCTGCCGCACGAGCAGCAGCGGCGCAGGTGTCCTTCTCTTTCGAACCTCGGATAAACAGGTCAGTATGGAGGTGTCGTTAGAAATGACGGTTGTGGTTTGGTGCTTCTGTCCACGTAGATGTTACTAGGAGTGTAAAGGGACCGGGACAGTGTGAAAATCAGGCCGCTGTTACTGCGGCGGAGGGATACACGACCGACGAGTTGAGGCTGTGATAATGCTAGGTTGCTATGCTAAACCCACAAATCTGTACGTTGTATTTTATTTACTGTTGAGAAAACGAATTATAAACAGAGCGAAGTTTTCTGTTTTACACACGGATACTCGTTCAATCGAGAGTTAACCTTAACAGAGTCAGTTCAGTCAGTTTTATGTCATAGAACAAATATTTAATTTAATGTTTCATGTCATATTTAATTATTGCCACAACACTGGGAAATACCAGTAATGTGTCGATGATGGAACCAGCCTCAGAACTGGTCCAGTTGGACTGAACCGCGGTGTGAATGTTGAATCCTCTCAGCTCTGGTCTCTGTCAAGTTTTTGTGAGAATATGAATAATAATTATAATTGTCTCTTTCTGCTCCACCTGTCTTTCAGAGACAGTGTCAGAGCCATGCCGGTCCCAGCCACGGACGGGCCTGCGGTCGACCACCAGAAACGCTTTCAGGCAGCTGTGGACGTCATTCAGAACCTTCCTAAAAATGGTAAACAACCTGTTCACATTAGTTAAACGTTCTCTTTCACAGATTCCTTAGGTCAGATCAGAACAACTGTGTCGTAATAACTTTGGAAGTTCTTGTTCTCCACCAAATGACAACTAATCTGTGTCTGTGTCCGTCCCAGGCTTGTACAGTCCTTCCTATGAGGTGATGCTGCGTTTCTACAGTCTGTACAAACAGGCCGTGTGTGGAACGTGCAAGGCTCCTCGCCCCGGGTTTTGGGACCCAGTAGGACGATACAAATGGTATCTTTAATGTAAAAGACAGTAATTTATTGGTCTGTGGTCATTTCTAACAGTTAGAACTATTCCTGTGTTTAATACAAACTGACCAGTGTGTTGAGTCACAGAGTCAACTGAAGGCATGACCAGTGTGTTGAGTCACAGAGTCAAGGCGTGAAGGCGTCTGAAAAAACAAACCAACTTCATTTGTGTTTGTGCCAGGGATGCGTGGAGTCGTCTGGGAGCGATGAGCAGCGAGAGCGCCATGACAGCGTACGTGGAGGAAATGAAGAAAGTGGCCCAGGAGGTGGGAGAGTCTGAATCAATTAAACACATGTACTGAAGTTGAGCCACACCTAGTGGACATGAATAAGAACTGCTTCAGATGTGTGTTTAATCCACTGATCTGGACAAAAACAAACTTTTAAATATTCTGTTTTCCAGGTCATCGACACCATGCCCATGAACGAGAAGACGGCCTCACTCTTACACCACTTTGAGCCTCTTTACCTGGTCATTGATGACATGCCTCGTCCTCCACAGACACTACTGACACTTAGAGAAGGTCAGTGACCCCTGGGTCTCACCTTGCCACTCACTTTTATATTATTAATGATGATTAATGACATTGTATTACAAGTCATAATTATATAATGAATTCAGTGTCTGTCCCCATCTGTTCATGTGAGAGCTACAGCAATCAGAGCCGCCCCCTAATGGTCGCATTGGTTAAAACAGCTGATCCTCAGGCCTAGGCCCGACCCATGTTTTGTCCTTATGTGTAAATCTAGAGCCAGTGTTGATGAGACTACAGACTGTTCACAGTCGGAGTCAGACTGTTGTTGTCTGCTGTGTTTGATGACATCACAGGTTTAACTTCACCTTTGTCGTCATCATCAGTGTCCTCTGTGGGTGATAGTCATGAGGAGTGGGTTTGTTCCTGCAGGTCTGAAATCTGACCGATCTGCACAGATGAAGAAGGATGAAGAGGAACAGCAGCAACTGGGGGAGGAAGAGGAGGAGGAGGCACAGACAGGAGCTTCTACTCCTCCAGGAGACCAGGAGATGAAAACAGCTGAAGTGATGGAGGTGACTGCAGAGCCTGTCCACCAGGGTGAGTTGTCCTCACCTGAGTTGAGATGTTCTCACCCCATGTGAGCAGTGACCTGAGTTCTCCTGCTGCAGATTCTGGAGTGTCCGAGTGTTTGGCTCTGACCAGTGACTCTGAGACGGAGATCTTCTGTGACTCTGTGGACTCAGTGGAGCAGCTCAGCAGCATCAGGGTGAGAAGAGGCCCAGGTTCTGGAGCTAGAGCCCGGTGGACTCCAGTGTCAGAAGTTTGTTTGTCACATGACCAGCCAAATTTCTTTTCATATTTTACTCTTGACCTTTTCGGTGTTCTTCAGGTTCCTGCGGTAAAGTCCAACGGTTTTCCCAACGGTCAGGTGCTGTTGGAGTCATCTGGTCTACAGGATGCCCGGCAGGTAGGAGCAGGTCAAGGAGGTGAAGGAGGGAGTGATGGGAAAGGTCAGGGTCGGGTCAGCAGGAGGAGAGACGGTGGACGAGGAGATCCACACCACGGCTGGAGAGAACGTGAGTTCCGTCTTTGTTCCCCACCTTCCTCTGACTCCGTCAGCACATCAGCTCTGTGTCTTCAACCAGCCCTCTGTCATAGGTGGTGTTCCTCAGGGTGGTCCCGGGTGGGGTGTTCCAGGAGGTGGTGGGGGTGGAGCTGGCCGAGGAGGAGGCGACGGCTCCGAGGGCGGAGTGGAGAGGCTCCACGACATCCAGCTGCAGCAACAGATCATGGTGGCGCTAAGGAGACTCAGAGAAGACATGAGGAGTGTGATGGAGCGGCTGGAGGTGGTGGAGAGGCTGGCAGCCACACATGTGAGGCTCTCTGCAGCACGCACACACACACACACCATCAGGCCGGTGCCACAGGTATGAATGAGGTCATTTCCTGTTTCCTGTCCGACAGGTCGATGGATCGTGGGGAACGTGTCTTCAGTGTTCAGCTGCACGCCAGAAGGTCAGGAAGACTGAGGAGTACCTGTTAATGCTGCTACCATTACTGTAGTAGTAGTTGTTATTTAAAAGACTCTTTAACCAGATTATTCTTTAATCCAGTGTCAGATTTTTTTTTTTTTAAATCTTGTCTCTTATTATTTTTTAATCCTGTGTCAGATTATTTTTTAATCCCATCTCAGATTATTTTTTAATCCCATCTCAGGTTTATAATGATGTTTTAGATTATTTTTTATCTCATCTAAGATTATTTTTTAATCCTGTGTCAGATTATTTATTTAATTCCATCTAGTATTTTTCAATCCTGTCTCAGATTATTTTTTAATGCTGTCTCTGATTATTTTTTTATTCCCACATCAGATTATTTGTAATGCTGTTTTAGATTATTTTTTTAATCCCATCTCAGATTATTTTTAATCCCATCTAAACTCAAATTCTGATGTCTGATCTCATCTCATATTATTCTTTAATCCCGTGTCAGATTATTTTTTAATCCCATCTAGGATTTTTAAATCCCATCTCAGATTATTTTTTAATCCCATCTCAGATAATTTTATAACCCCATCTCAGATTATTTTTTAATCCCATCTCATAATATTTTTTAATCCCATCTCAGATTATTTTTAATCCCATCTAAACTCAAATTCTGATGTCTTTGTTTCTCCTCCGTCTCTGTGCAGGAGGACCGGTGGTGGCCTTTTGATGTGTCTGCTCAGACGCTCCTCCTCTTCCTGGTGTGGCCCTTCGTAGCTCAAGGCGTGGTCACCATGGTCCGAAAGGCTCAGAAGAGAAGTCGCTCCTTCTCCTGATGCTGGATAATTCTCTGGTCGGAGTTAACTTCACTGGTGAGAAGACGATGTCCAGCAGACTGTGGGGACTGACGCTAGTCCAGTGTCTGACTGGTCTGGTCTGGCCTGGTAGGCTCAGGAGCCACAGACTCTTTGACTCTGTCATTACCCATGAAAGTTTTTTGGGGTTTTTTTTTGGGTCCAGACGGTGACAAACAAACTCATGGTCGAGAGACACAGCTGTGACGTTTTTCTCCTTCATGTGTTTCCAAAAACTTAGAAAGAAAAACCTGAAGGAGTTTGTCTGTGGATCAGCTGACAGGACTCCTCAACGCTGACCTCCTCGTCAGACACCGTCTGATCTCAGTCGTGTAATTTTACCTTCAGCTGCTCTAGAATCAACGCACTAACTTTGAAGTCTTTAATTTATGGAGTAAATATTATCTTCAGTTCATGTTCTCATTAAGAATAATCTGTCAGAAATTAAAAGGTCATGATACATGGAAGGATGAAGTGTCTTCAGTCTGTGGAGGAGGAGCCAAAACGACATCAGCCGTGATGATGTCACTCTAGTGACATCATCACTGGTCTGCTACAGTGATGTCGTCACTGCTCCACGGTGGTTGAAATACAAGAGGTTATAAATAAAGTCAAGAACATTTGTAGGGTTTTTGGCAGAGAAAAAATGCAGCTTTGGTGAAATTAACTTCAAAGCAGTTGATGACATTTTTAATTATGTTTTTCACTCTTTATAGTAAGAAAGACGAGGCATTCACTTTTATCCAAAACAAATAATTTAATTTATTATGTATCATATTTATTTACACTGGTTAAATTAACAAGGCTTTGTACAACTGTTACAAAACACGTGGTCCACAAACAAACTGACGGTACAGTCAGTACTGGTCTGAGTTTCAGGTTCAGGACTGGGAACCACCACAGAGGAGTTTAATGACTTCACTGTTTGAGGAGCACTGGAGGCTGCTGAGTAGAAAAAGCCAAGAATGAGCCTTTATTTGGCTTCAGGTCAGGTAGCTGCCTCAGAATCAACAGACACTCACAAGGACAACCACAGACGTTGGCAGAGACACATGATCAGTCCCATTGGACACTCCTCTGACCCACGTGACTGTGTGTGTGTCTCTGTGTGTGTCTGACTGTCTGTGTGTGTGTGTCCAGAGTCAGTCACTGGACGAAGGTACAGAAAAGACTGCTGACAAATGGTGGTCTTCTAACTGTCCAGATCACTACTGACTTTTCGGTGGTCTTCTAACTGTCCAGATCACTATTGACTTTTCTTGGTTGTTGTTTTTTTTTTTTTTTTTTTGGTTGTTTTTTTTGTTTTCCACTGAACTCAGATGTTTGACTTTGGTAAAAACCCGACCCCAGGCTCTGTGGAACTTCAAAAGCTATGTAGAACTTTTCCAGTTCAGTTTTATTCCCCAAAGACCTGGACCTTCAGCACAGGACAGGACCAGTCATTCTCACACTTAGTACTAATCTTAGTGTCAGGTAAGTAGATGGTTAAAGGTTAATGCTGTTAAACTCATTAGGAATGAAACTTGATGAAGGTCTTGACAAATGTGTCCTAGAACTGATTTGTTGGTACTTGTCTTTGGTGACATTTAGTTTAGTGGTAAAACATTAGCAGATGCCGAGGTCAGGTTAAATCACCACCGTATGTCGACGACGTGCTCTTGTTTTATCTCGTGAATCGTGTCCTGATCTTCTCATGACTACACCAGATGATCCTGGAGAACCCTGATCTACCCAACCCAAGGACGTGGGTGGAGTCCTGTGGGGGGCAGGGTGTGGATGTGGATGTGTTTGCTGGCATGACATGGGGACTACAATGGATCCCTGTGGAACGCCAACACTTCTGTGTTGACCTGGCCCTCCTTCAATGACTCTGATCACCTCCACCTTCTCTGTTCTCCACCCTCGATCTCTGTCGTTATTTCTCCACAGCTCAAGGTCCACGTTCATGGACACGGCCCGGGTCCTGCCTCCTCTGGTCTTTCTGTAGCGGACTGGCACTTGCTGATTCCAGTCTGGCTGTTGGTTCTCCTGGAAGCTGGCTGTGTGGTGGAGGTAAGGAGGCCTGGTGGGGTAGATCCAGAAAGGAACCACGGGCCGTCCTGTAGCGAGATTGTCAGGTCTTGAATGTGAAGCTGGTTTAAACTCAGGTAAGTGTCTTTGGTGTGTGGTGTGGGCTTGTTGGTGTGGGTAGATAAAACTGTGGGGGCGCTGCAGCACTCGATTTCTGGGCCCAGCTGTTCTTTGTCTGCTCTCATGCTCAGAGCTTTTTGTTTCCTTCTCTTCCTCCTTTTCCACTTGAGCCTCAGCCTTTTCTCGTTCCCCACGGTTCCCTGCTCCTTCTACTCGATTTCCTTTTTTAATCCACGTTTCCTTTAGAGGATCATCTCCCCCCTGTGCCACCTCCTCCACCCCCCTGGCCTCTCCACCCCCTCCTCCTGCCCTGCAGGTACTTGCTTTGACAGGTTCATGCTCTGAGTCTTCATCATCACTGCTGACTGGTAGGTAAGCACTGAGACATTTTTTACGTTTCCTCGTCACAGCGTTAATGATGGACTTGGGCGTTAGGTCCCTGGTGGTCAGGTCTTTCTTGGAACTTGAGGACAGCTGAAGGTTGAAATCTCAGTTATAAATAATGATCACTCCAGAGGATTGAGTTAAAAAAATATTATAAGTATATAAAATATAAAAAGTATTTTGTTCTTACCTTTGACTTAAGTGAATCGCTGGTGGTGGAATCTGACAAAGAAAAGACAAGTTAGGACCCATGGTGTGAAGGATCGTGGGAAAGCAGCTGATGTAGGGCGGGGTGCAAAGGACAAGCAGAGTGGGTTATGATGAAAACAAGTGGGAAACAGAAAAACAAGACCTGTTCCTACCGAAGAAGCTGGTCCACTTTCTTAACTAGAGGAAACAAGTGCAGAGTCGAGAGAGAAGCAGAAGAAAAAGTAGGAAACGTGAGTTTTAACAGATCAACAGGGGGAGGAAGTGAGTGAGATAACTACGTTCATAAACTTCTACTACTTCTGCAACGTTCCCCTTTATGGATGACTTTCAACCCCACCCGCCCCCAACCTCCCACTCCTGAGCTTCAGATCTCCACTGGTCTTTTCTTGTAATTCCTTCAGAACTGCTGTTCCGTCTCTTTCTCTTCTGTGAAACAACCCGGCCACGCCCCCCACTTTAGGAACCTCTGGTCTTAGAACTGACAACTCAAATGAGAATCTTTCTTGAAGAATTTCCAAATATAAAAAAAAAGCTACAGCGCCACCATCTGGCAAACTGGTGTTTGTCCTTGGTTTTGCTCTCCACAGTGTGTGAGGTCATAGGGGTTGTAGACCCAGTGATGAAGACTCTACAGCGAGAACATATCCCGTATGTACAGATCAGTCAGACGTGAACATTGGGCTGCGACCCGTTCCTCACCACATGTCTCTCCTGGCATCCCGGGCCTGCCGATGTTGGACAGCAGATGGTCGATGTTGGGTGCAGGTTGTTTGTCCTGTTTGTCTTCAGGGGCCTTCAGACAGATGTTAGCCATGAAATTAATGAGTTTCTAACTATAAATAGTTTATGAAATGGAAATCCAACAGAGAACATACATACCTTCGGTTCCTTATCAAGTTCTCCATCACTGAAGAACCAGTCAGACTGTCGAGCAGAAAATGTTAATAAAGATATGGTTCCTGCGTAAAGACCAGTGATGTGTGTCTATAAAGTCTTACATGCAGAATCAGCGTCTCCACTATTTTGTATCTGTCAGGCATGTGAGTGACCATGTCGGTCATGTTGTCCTCTGACGTCCTCACCAGGGTCGGACCAAACACCAGGGCCAAGTTTCTGGCCTCCATCTGAGAATAAAACCACAATGGAGTCATGTGTTGAGTGACTGGAGGTAACAGCTGAAGGCAGGACTGGAGTTCACCTTGTTCTTCTCAGCATGATCTGCCACCTTCTTTAGGTGCCCCAACAGGAACTTGAGTGTGTGGTAGTAATGATCAGGAAGGTCCTGAATCTGAAACAAAAGAGAGAGCTCCGGTTGTTTAAAAAAAAGAAAGAAAAAAAGATCATTCTGTTTAAAAGAAACTCTACCAGTTTCTTCATGGTCTTCAGTCTGTCCTCAGCATCTTCTATTCTGTTGGCATCGATGAAGTCGTTGTATTTGTCTGTGAAACGGTGAAAAATAGGACATATTTACTACATTCTTACAGTGATATTTTATTTTTTTTAAATGACAGGAAGTGTAAATGTCTCTATCAAATTGTCAACATAAGTCATTGTGCTCTGACTCTTCTAATGCATTGTTTCCCAAACACTGGGTAGCGACCCTCAGGTGTTGCAAGAGTTGGGTTTTTTTGGGTCGCCTAGCATCATGTTTCCCAGGAGTTTACAAATAATGTCTATTGTCTTGGATCGCGAAGGTTTGTGAGTTTTAAAATATGGGTCCCCAGAAAAAAAGTTTGGGAAACACTGTTCTAATGGACATTTTGAACCAATTGATAACTGACCGTCTGTAAACAAAGGCTCAGGCAGTTTCCTGAAGAAGGACTTGAGCAGACTGCTGATCACATTCAGGTCCTGCCACCTCTGAGAGGACAGATGGATCAAGGGTTCAGAACTTTTGTCAGTGGATATGGTGTGACCTTTAAAGCTTCATTGTTTTATCTCCCACCTCCTCAGCAGTGCTGAAGTCCAGGCCTTTGTTCAGATGCTCCTGAAGGTTGGACACCATGGCGTTGTTTCCGGGAACCCTGTAGATGCCGGTGTATTCCAGACCTGTATCTTCCACCATGCCGCAGCACATCTCCACTATCATTGGGACAAACTGCAGAGAAACATGTCAAGAGGTGAGGTGGACAATATGGTTATTAGTCCAAGGACAACAACTAATCCAGTTTTTTAAGAAGACAGCGATTTATTCTTATCTGCCCTCCTGACTGGGAATCCCCCCCCAACCTTCTAGGGAAACCTTCCTCAAATGCTTATAGACTCTTAAGACCTTTTTTAAATCCTGAACGTATGTGAATTTGAACAGCGTCTAACCTCCTGAGTCTCTTGTAAGTGAAAGGAATACTAGTACTCGTAGGTAGTATTGTTGTAGTTGAAGTTTACTTTATGGTTGACAGCAGGTTGACAGTCCTCTAGTCGCACACCAAAGGCCTTTGGACTGCCTGTCTTCTTGGCTTTCTTCATGATGTTGATGCCCCAAAGTGCTTTGATGTCATCTGAAGTCAAAGTAAAACAAGGATCAAGAAGGAATAACATGTTCAAAGGTCAGGGTGATCAGCATGTGGGAGTCCAGTCTGTTAGACTTCACAGTGGTGAACATCTGACAGTTCTACAAACACAGAGGTCTTCAGCACCTACCTGCCCTGGTGGATCGGTTGGCTGAGGTGTTGTCAGTTTTGGCCAGAAGGAAAGGAGGCACCATCCTGTGGAGTTTGGGGGAGGTGTCAGGCTTGTTACCTGTCAGACTGTCAGGGAGAGAGGTTTCATCAACACAACATGACAATATGTTGTTGATGTATGTGAGAAGAAGAAAGATGAACACCAGGTTCTCACCTGTGTTTTCTGTAATCATTCAGCTTCTTGTTGATCAACGCTTGTCTGGAGGAACCAATCTCCTGTAACAGGAACACTCTACAGTTGGCTGACGTTCACTTGACCCCCGTGTATCTAAGTCAATCTAAAACTGTACCTCATTATCTGTCTTGCTGTTCTCCCTGATGGTCCTGATCCAGGCCAACATGTCGTCCCTGTCCTCAGCTTGGAGGAGGTACTCGCAAAAGTCCTGGGTGGTCAGCCTCAGGGTGTGCTTGCGTTTTGTTTCGCTGTAGGCGATGTCGATCAAGCAGCCACGAATGCTGACTGGGGGGTTCTCATCCTGGCCAGGCCCCGCCCCTGCTCCATGAAGCACCGCCTCTCTTTTGTCCTTGTACAGGAAGAGCAAACTGGACCGGAGGACGGAGAAGACGCGTTTCCATGGTCGCATGCCCCCGCCCACTTTCTACCATTACATTAAAAGAATTCACAAAGTAGTTATTGTGACTGACGGGATCAAAGGTCCCTGGGTCTTACAGTGGTCCAAGGGTTAGGGTCTGACCTTTCCCTTCTCTGTGAGGATCTGTTTGTAGTGTAACCAGCCCTCCTTGCGAACGTCACTGAAGGTGATGGTTCCAAGTTCAGAGGTGGAGTGGCGCTTTGACCGGGCCTCCTCCTGAGCCCGTAGAGTCTCCAGGGACTGAAACAGAGAATCATTGACTCGGTTTATAAAAGTCCACAAACGTTGTTCCATTTTCCATGCTGTGATTACAGTCAAATTGTTTGAGGAACTCACGCCATCAGTGAAAAAGCTCTTAACCCTTTTTGGTATTTTGCTGTGGAGAAGAAAATACAAATTCCTTAAAACATTAACATCAATAGTAACATTTTATTTCAAAATAAACAAATCTCAAGCGAAAGTTGTAGTGGAGGGATCTGACCTTCTATCCAATAACATGTTTCTGAACTCACGTTAGGACGCGACCTTCCTCCCTGAAGTTGTTGAGGCCTTCGTCACAGGACTTGGATCT